ATTTATGACCAAAATCTGCGATATTCCCTACCCTATTTATGACCTGACCAAATATTCGATACCCTATTTATGACCTGACCCTTTTAAAAATCAAAACCCTGTTTCAGACCTGCGTTATGATTGGTTCCCTAGTTCAGACCAATGTTAAGTTACCATAAACATAATTTGTGAAGGGCTTTTGTTGTTTTTCTTTTCGATAATGATGAAAAAGTGGTTTCTTCTTAAAAACTTACCCATATGAAGGCTAGAGTGCAAAACCATACCCTATTTATGACCAAGATCAGCTAAAATCTATACCCTATTTATGACCAAAACGGCTGAAAAACCATACCCTTTCGGGCCGCACATACCTATAAAGCCCATATAAGGGAGTACCCCCCGGGTAAAGACCAAACTAAGACTCCTAAGATTCTGGTTCAGAATGCTGGAAAATCTCCCAAGAAATCACGAAGAACCTGAGAGTTTTTGTACATAAATGCCTCAGAGTAATTATTATTCTCAGTACGGATACGATGGCCCATGGAGTGATAGTCAGCAATAAGCGCACAAGGGAGAGAAGCAACCAAGAAGTCATCATGGTAGAACTAGCTAGAAGAAGGTGGAATTGGACCGGATAGGCCGTGTCTTGAGGAGGCCTGCAAGCAATATCACCAAGGAGACCTTGTACTAAACACCAACTGGCACAGGCAAACGCGGGCGGCACAGGCTGATGTGGCAACGGTCCGTCGAAAAAGAATTAACTGAGGGAAAGAATGAGCCTCCACTGAGCTGAGGCTGCAAAGACCGCCCAGGACAGGGTACGTTAGACGGACCTAGTGGGGGCCTTAAAGCCGCCTTATACGCCGCATGGCGCGAAGAGGCCTAAGTTAGTAAGTATGCCTCTGGCTCTATCTGCTACTCTAGATCTTACTCTTTCTGCGTCTGTTTCTGCGTCTTCTTATGTGTCTGCTTCTGCTTCCACTTCCGTCTTCGCTCTCGCCCTCGCCGAAGCGTCTACGGGTAATTTAACGTTGACGTTCAGTTAATATTTAGTGTATATTAGATTTGTTCTTCTGAGTTTCGATTTGGTGTACGATTTTGCCTTTTCACTGACTAAGCGCTTCTATTTGTATTAACCTTTCGCAATTGTCTGTTACCATTAATTCTGATAATAAATTAGTGTCATTTTAAATATATTATTACAGTTAGAAGCGCACTTTTTAAGCCGACTGAAATGTTCACATAAAATTGATTTCATAACCCTACTGATTGTTTGGTCTGTATTTAGATGAAAAAGGAACTCAATTTTTAAAAATTGCAGTTACATATATTGTCTTCGTGTGATCTCTTTTGCTGATCGCTATAACATTCAGGATTTTAAAGAGCTGATACACGTATCCATGTGTCACTCCTCGTATGAGAAAAAATAAAAGTGCTCTGAATCAGCCACGTTTTGCTCTTTT